CCTATACGGATTCTGCAGCCATCTGGACGTGGTCGATCAGTCGGTCTGTACCGGCAATACTGCTATGGGACCTATATAGGCACCCGTAGACGCGGGGATGGTCGTTGCTGTCTGCGCGTAGCCATAAAATGGACAGGTCCGTACCTTCAAGGCTGCCGAGGCATCAAAAACAGATGTCCTCGAACGACGAAAATATTTCGATTTAATATTATAAAATCACCAAAACTCTTTACTTCAATGTAATTTTTTCCGTGTATTGGTTATAAACATATCTATTTTAATTATTTTATCAAAATAAATGTAATGTTAAATATTAAAAACCAAACAAAAACCAAAAAAAGTTTTAACTCGTTTTATTTTGTCAATTATTTATATAATTATTTTTAAAATACTATAAATCATCACGCGCAGACGCCGTCCGATTCAGTCAGTCAGTACACTCAGGGTAATCCCAACGATAGGATGTACTACTTTTTCTCACCGACACCGCGCGATCGCGTTGATACACCGATAGGACTATACTACACTATACTATAACTAGCTACCTATAGCACCATCGAGCATTTTAAACGATTGAGACTTTTATAAGCGATATTTTAGGTAGTAAGTAATTTTGAAATATGTTTATTAATATGTATATAAATAGGGGGTAATCTGTGGTTTATGGTAATGGCAATATTTAAATATTAAATGATGTAATGGTGGCAAATTTAAATTTATTTTCATACATATTTTTTTGAAATGGGTAATAAACGTAAGCAATTCGGATCTAGTAAAAATACAAAATCGTTGGCTTTCACCTTTGGCTCCGTAGCGGAGTGACTTGGTAATGAGTTGTAGCGCTGAGCGCCGCGGGTTCGAATCCCACACGGAACAAAAATTTGTATAACCTACAAATAATTGTTCCGGTTCTGGATGTTTGTCCTTGTGAAATTAATGTATTTAAACTGCCGCCATGATGTACTTAGGAAAAATTCCTAGTGTGGAGATGACGTTATGATTAAACAAAGACATAAAAAAGATATGAGCCGTGCTTGAGTTGAGTAGCACAAGGGCGAAGTGCTCGCCGTAAACGCGAGCAATCCTGGTTCGTACCCCGCCGACACTAATGAAATTGTTAGTTTGGTGCATTATGTTAACATTATGAAACAGAATAAAAGTTCATCAAATGATATATATTTTATATAATACAGATTTTTCAATTAGAACATATATTATAATATACTCAATAGGGTGAAAATGCAAAGCCGACTTCAATTTACTAAAAGAATAAAACAATTTCCATATATTAACCTCCGATTTCTAGACACTATATAAGCCATTATGTGGAAATTATTTTTTTATTCTTCTAGTTCCAATAGTATCAAAATGATTCGTGCAACTAAAGGCAAGCCTCGCGCTAGCCCTGACACGCACACAGCGATAACATTGTAGTGTGCACCAATATTACGCCGTTCCAAAGCGATCGCGTAGATTTCGACTTGGACATATTTGAATAGGTATTACAAATTTCGAATATTATCGGAAGATATATATCTAATTGCCTGCTGTAGCCGCTTGTCCTGAGCGGTCACAGAGACCCCCTGAGATTAAGAATTGCGTCCCCCGATTTTATCAAGATAGAAGCCAAAAAGCAGCAATTACGCAATAGTTATTGTCTCTGAGTTTGTTCGATTTTAGTTAAAAACAAAGTACTCAGTTTAGCATGCCTTCGTGTTCTTAGTATTTTTCCCATATGACTGCCTTCTTGGTTAATGGTGTGGAGACTTTGTCGTGGGGTCTCAGGTTCGTATCCCGGTTGTGCCTGGACTAGTTATTTGGCTTTGCTTTCAAGAAATTCTCGGCCGGGAGTCAGGGAGTTGGCGGTGTTTCATCACCATGCTTTGGAAAGCACGTGAAGCCGTTGTTCCTGGCGCCTGATTTCCCTAACGGATTATGAGAGCGAGGGAACGGTGAGCGCACCTGTGCTTGCACTCACATTTGTGTCCTATAGACACGATGAGCCTTCTGCTTTGGTAGGGAGGATTTGCAATAGTAGTTCGCTAAATTGAAAGATAGGTGATTGATGTGTGTACGTATCCAACAAATTTTTTTTACATCCGGCTGAAATGTAGTTGGTTTTTCCGCTATGCATTTTTACATGTTTTACGTATGATGGCATACTCCAAGACGCAAATGATGCAATTCAATATTCGCTTTTGAATAATTTGTGAATATTTAGTAAACTAACCCGCGTGTAAGTGAATAAATAAAACAAATATCAGCTTCTATGTATATATTTTATTGTCAACTTATATTTTTACCTAAGATGTCTTATTGAGAGTAGAAATATTTACAGCGCCATTATAATAAATAGGGAAATGATGTCAAGTTGCTTAAATAAATGACAAATATTTGTACATGAAAATATCGAGTTTCCTTTAACGCAACTATATCTATATACACATTGTTAATGGCATTAGATACAAACTGAAAAATCTTTTGTGTTACTACCTAAACCATTAAAATTAAATTTGATTATTTTGGTATATTTACAGATAATACTTACGTCGTATTTGTTTGTCACTTGTACTTGTGATATGAAAATTGTTCTATAATAATATGATACAAATAAAATATAGTTGACGTAGAGATTAAAAATGAATCCATAAATCGATCCTGATCTGTGGCACTCGACGGCTCGACTTGCACGTGGTTGATGAAGTAATTATCTAATTCGTTATATATGCGTTTGTATGGTTCAGTAGAGTAATTATTCCATAAGTCCGCGTTAGTGTTATCGGTCCGTGGCAAATGTCGAGCGTTGCTAATTACGATGTAGAAATAATTGTTAATTTTCCTGTTGCGTGGCGGCCGTGTCCAGTCGTGTTGTAATATAGCTGTTTATATGTACAATAAATGTGCGAGAACATGTAATGGTGGTGCATCATGACGCACATGATGCACGTCACTAAGTGGAATGGAATTTCCAAGATATTCACACATTTCTAGCTCAAAGCCGCACATCGTTGTCATCGGCGAGCTCCAGTCTCCGTCGCACCCACTGTAGCATCGCCTCCTAAATATACAAACATTTAAAGTTTAATATATATAAAATAATATATAATTATATAAAATAAATAAAATTTACTAAAATATTTTCATATTTTAACATCTAATTTATTACCTAATTGTGTGTGGGCACTGTTTACTGATAATCGTATTACGTACACTCAGTAGTATAAAATACTTAAGTTTATTTATAACTGGATTTAGTTGACACTCATGTGGAAGTCTACGAGAGTTGCTGAGCACTGGCGGCGTATCCACTGCCCCACATCGTCCCGCGTGTGTCGTAAGAGGCGGCAGAAGTAAACTGAAACGGAACATGGACAGCATCTTCTTGATAACGAGCATTGGTCGCAAAATATTAAAAGCTACAGGAAGCAGCTCAAAACAATAATCCTGCCTGTGAAAAATAAATAAATCTCTAAAAATATATGTCTTGATATTGCAAATATATTAAAGCGGCAGTAGCCTAGTGGTTGAGGATAGGACAAATGCAAGTTGCAAATGCAAATTGTGAAGTCGTGAGTTCAAATCTATCATTCGACTACTGTCGTGAACCACTCGTAACGCAAACATTTTAAGCTTGCTTGTACCACAGAATAAATAATAGTACTACGTACTTGTACTAACGCTTGAGGTCAACGTGAGTATTAGTAATGTTAATAGCGTTACTAGTATTTCTTTTTTTTTTTTAAATAGCACATTTTTAAAACAGCTACACCGTTGCCAAAGAGTTCACAGATTAAAGTCCAAACATACATGCCGTTAATTTGCTACTAATTATGTAATGTTCAAACAAAAAATCCCACATTATCAGATATCATATTATATATTAATTAAATTATGTATTAATAGCATCAAAGGGTAATTATAAATTTTTATTATCCTTTAAATGTTTTAAAATTTTAATATGTAATTACAATATATTCACTGAAGTTGTCCCAAACAAATGTTTCTCCATCACTCGAAAAATAAATTAACGCGATTTCTTTACGACTGCAATAAAGATAAAAACTCTCCCTCCACCTTTTAGTAAATATCTAATTATTACAGAAAATCCTCTGTAAAAATTTTTTGACACAAACAAAAACAGTTAGACGTTTAGAAAAAGAAACTCGGACTTCATAAGTCGTATTTTGTGTAATCTTTTTTTAAATATTACTATTATCAACTAGATATCTAAAAAAGATGGATATTGCAAAAATATTATAATGTTTGCTCGGCGGTTTCACTAAACTGATGCACAAGATGAAATACAATCCCATATTAATCAAAAGCTGTAGTCGAGTCGGAAACTAACATTTCACCTATGTACATGTACCTATGGCATTGGGTACTACTTGACTAAGCTAATTAGGTATACAATTATCAATATCAAACGTAAGTCCCTAACAACTAACAGAAGTTCTTTTTATTAGAAGTTGTATTATGTGGCATTGAGTCGACATCCGCGAGTGTCGTGGCACGTGGCAGCAGGAAAGTGGAGCAGGGCGGCAGCATCCTCCTGATAACAACTCAATACAATACAGCCTGCAGTTGCCAAGCCGCCTGTCTGGCAGGGCCACTATCACCACTATCGCCAATATCGCTCCTTTGGGGGAGCTATGTTCAGTAGTGACATTTGATATACTGCAATGATGATGTGACGCAATTAGAAGGCGTGCTGGCCATAAGAACGCGTGTCACTCTTAATATGTACTTATTCGTGTTGTAAAACTGATCTTAGGGCGCCGCTGTAATACGTCAAATACAAATTGATTTAGTGACAGTGTAGTGTGCCCCCCCACACTAGATGGAAGTCGATGAATGCAGGTGCTTGGGACTTTTGTGGTATTCTTTGGAGGAGGCTTTCATTCAGCAGTGGACCTGTGATGGGCTGTAATGATGATGATGATGATAATGATGCAAATACTGATTTTGGCTATAAGCACGAGCACCTGAGCGTCGCGAGCTCATTCGCGATGTGTTTCGTGGTGTGAGTTGTCGTTGTAGTCGTCGTAGTCGCGCGTGGGCTCGAGCTCGTCCTCGCGCGCATCATACTCCTCGGCGTCAGCCTCGGTCTCGGCTTCGGGCTCCAGCTCAGCCTCCTCCTCGGAGCCCGGCGGCCGCTCCTCGCGCGGCTCCCACACCTGCCGCGCCACACCCACACCGTGCATGCATCACCCGCCCCGGAGCCCTCACAACTCACAACGCATAGCCCGCAACACGTATTTACTTATAAAGCCCCAAATGTGATGTTTTTAAACTTTGGTGTAGGTCAAGCGAGCTAGCAGACTAGCAGACTAGCTAGTGTACTAATGGCTACGTACTGAGATAGCTGCAAGCGTTGACTGCAACACTGCAGCCAAATTCAAACAATAAGAAATAAAATTGTTCGAAGTTTGTTAATAAGCAATTTTAAAAGTTTCAATAAACAAAAATAGTACAAAAAGGGTTATTATATTATCGGGGAATACATTGATAAAGATAACCTCTGGAAATGAGGTGATCGCCACCATGCTGGTTTTATTAAAATTCATTTAAAAAATTGTACAAAATTATTGTAAAGTTTTTTTTATAGGGCAGGGTGACAAAAAGCTCACAGTCCACCTGGTGGTTGCTTTGGCCCATAGACATCTTCATCCATCCTAGATTACGAATCAAAATGCAGATGCGTTGTCACCCGTGAGGACTAAGATGCAATGCCTCGTTTCCAATTTATGCTTAAAAAATAATCTCGCTGGGTTTCTTGCTAGTTTTTCCCAGGACAGATGTATTTTCCGAACCAGCGTTAAATAAAAAAAAAATAATTTTATCATTATTATGTAATACTTTATCTTGAAAATAAAATTCTATTATATTCTGATATCTACAGATGTATTGTTACTATTAAACTACAACGTATTGTGGCTGAAGCACGAATGCGTCAGCTCGAACAGAGCAGGAGCACGCTGCCACAGAACACCATCATGTTTTTCTAAGCAGCAGCACAATACTGCTGTGTTACTTATGGAGTACGGGCACCGGAAACGTTTTTATTTGTAACGAGACATTCCATCTTCGTCCTCGACAGTGACATCACATCAGCATTTTGGTTTTTAATCGACGATAGATCTAAATGTTGTGTGTCGACCACAGCTCCATTTACCATCAGGTGCTCATTTGTTAGTCTTATTTTTATTTAAATAAATTAAAATCTAATTGAAACGCAATAATTGATGCACTGCTGCTTCGCGACAGGAATAATTACCGACCTATCCTTACAGACTGCACGTTTACAATGAGTGCTAGCAACTAATAAACGCGATACAACTCTATCAAATCTACAAAAGTGCGGTGTCGTTGCAAGGCTTCCAGGGTGCTAATATTAGTTGTAAAAGCTCTAATAACATTTTAATATACACTCATTTGCAAGAAAAAATGGGCAGTTTTGATTTTATTCCTGGCTGAAAAAAATTCAGTACGAAAAAGGTTTTAATTATTTGAACATGATACTGATATGACATTGTAGAGCCATGTTGTGAAGAAATCACACATTGTGGTTGGAGCTCTGTAATGTTTCTGAGAGGAATAAATTCGTAGGATCGTATGGAGTTAACTAACTAAACACCTACGCATAATGAAAGTTCTGATTCCTCATGGACAACCCGCGTTGGCCGCTCTTGGCGAAAACTTGATTTTTATGGACGACAACGCTCGCACCCACATCTAGCGGGGTGAAGCGTATATGCTAGAGGTTTGGAAATTTCGATTATCTAGCTCGAAGTCCCGACCTAAATCCCATAGAGCAAGTCTAGGACGTTCTGAAGCGATGAGTGAGATCAGTGCAGCCAGCTCCGCAGACCATCAGAGAGCTAAAGAATGTAATTCGCAAGAACCATAAGAGATATACTTGCTAGCAAGCCCAGACGAATGCAAGATGTGATTTCAGTAAGAGTGGGTCACACTTCATACTAAACTTTTATTTGCTTTTACTTTATCAAAGAAAAGACACACTTAGTGAGCATTTACACTACTAGCGCTTTGAACATTAACATTATTTCTCATTAATTAATCAAAATGTTATGTTAAAACTGATGAAAGTTATTTCTTGTTAATTGTTTCTTTGCTTAGGTGCCCGTTTTTTTGCAAAAGAGTTTATTACTCAAGAAAACCACATGCATTGTTACAACATTAGGTCATGTACTAACAGCTACGTATTGCTTATTAAGATATAGTGAGGTGCATGCATGTGTATCGCACCTTGGCTGGGCGCCAACCGCAGCCGGGCAGAGGAAGTCCATCGGGTCCGAGTGGGCAAGGCGCGTCCAGCCCGGGAACACCTTGCTCTCCACGATCGCCCTTGTCACCTTTGCGTCCACGTTTACCGCCAGGGCCCTGGTTACACAAAGATAAAAATCATTTCTCGCAATTTTTATTATAAATTACAAAATTAAACGTCCAGAGCAGGCTCTGTGCAAGACCCATGCTGCAGCTATATTATAGTTGTAGCACTGATGGGTCTTCTTGACTGAGACTGAGTCTTGAGATCCTTTTACTGGAAAAAAGGCATTCCATTTTAGTCCTCAGTGATGACATCGTATCTGCATTTTTATTCTTAATCTATGGTAGATGAAAATTTCTATGGACGACAGCATCCCCTTACATCAGGTGGACTGTGTGCTCGGTTGTCACCCCTATTCTATAAAAAATGCTACTAAATTATCAGCCTTTGATCAATTTCATTTGTTGGAGTACAAGTAAAGATACGTAACATATAATTTTAGCATTACGTTAATAAATTGTTAGTAGCTCGTGCAAAATGGACGATGGTATTGTTGTTGAGGAATTAGCGATAGACCGGTCCAATGCAAATGGCAAGCGAATTGAAATAGGGAAATTCACACTTACCGGTTCTCCTTTGTAGCCTTTGTCGCCTTTCGGACCCTACAGATGGAAAATAGGATATTACTACTGGTTGAGTTCACTAACAGCTAGTAACAATAAGAGTACCGACCTCCTGTCCGGGAATGCCGTCAGTGCCCTGAAAGAGGAACACGACATATTAGTAATAGCAGCAGAGGGTAAGTACATGCCGGTAAATTGTGAGGCCTTTTCTCATGGACACGATTTTCAGCAAGGCACTGTGCCGTGCCAAATTAAGAAGTTTTGTAATTGTACAAAACTCATATTGATGAGCAAACATGAAAGCTTGCCATGCCATGTGAAAAGTGCCTCAGAGTAGGTGGTCACGTACGGGCAGTCCGGGGTCGCCGCGCTCGCCCTTAGCGCCCGGCTCGCCCTGCGCGCCCTGAAACACGTGCCAAATTATCTTTCATCTAAGAGATATAAGTATTTTAAAGCCATATTGGAAAAATTATGGTATTTGGGACACAATTTTGATGCACAAGAATATATATATATATGTTCCGAATAAATTTGCACATGCAAAAACTATAATTCAGATATTCGAGTTCTTGTTTTTTAAATAATAACAATATAATATTTTGTCGATAACGTGAAAGGTGTGTTATTGAATTCAATTCGGCTAGATTTTTATTTAGCTCCTTCTTAAGATTTTCTGGTATTAAGCAAAAACGTTTCAAATAAAGTATAGTTTTTGTTCACCGAATATCGTACGCTTACTTTGTGCTGGACAAATATGCATTTTGTCATCGATCTATATATGAATTTAAAATTTGTAGCAAATTATGTATCAGAAACTTCATATATTGTAGTTAACTTTAGGAAAAATAAACATTTTCTGTAGTAAGTATAAAATGATGGACGTATTAAGTTAAAGGTTACTTACTTTCATTCCGTCGAGTCCGGGCGGGCCCTGCGGACAACGTACACGTCAGCACATTATAAACTTTCTGTATTAACTGATATTCCGTTTGTTTATATTTGCATTCATAGCGTATACTTGCGTTCTCTTTAACATTGTCGTATCCAATTGCCACTTAAAGTATCTCCACGGAGACATATTTCTTATATGCAATTAGAAACATTTAGACGAGCTTTAATGAAGAACATTCAAAGATTTGTGAAAATACGATAGAGTTGAAGTAATTGAGCAGGCTAACGAGTTGGGCGCAGAGTTCGGGCAGAAATTACACGAGTTGGGCGCAGTCCGACATGCAAAAAGGCGCAGGCCCAACGTGTGGACAGTTCGAAACCGCAGAGGAATATGTAAAGAATGGAAAGACCAATATGCATAGCATGCAATAATTTATTTTTCTCGAAAATAATCTGTGAACAACAATATTTAATGCTCTCGTGACATATGGTACAAATGACAACTTCCATTTTATAAAAAAACTAAACCTTATTTATAATCAATACAATACAATACAAGAGTAGTTACAGAAGAATCCGATACAATGATAGAGTAGGAAGGAATATAATATACTAAGGTCGGCACGCGCCAACGTGAGAGTTTTCACATCTTTAACAAACCCGGCACTTAAATCTAGGAGTCAATACAATTTTGTACATTCGTGTTAATATTAAATATAGATAAATATAATAAATTACATACAATAATTAGAGAACAATTGAAAAAGGACAGATAATACAAGGGAGGGAATATCGAGCGGACGTGGACGGAGCGGTCGGGCGCAGCCGACTTCCTCCACTCAGCACGGAGGAAAGCTCAACCCAAGCTCTGACACTCGCACCACTACAAACACTTTACACTATAATACTGACATACGGCGATTAACTCTTAAGAGCCCTTCACACAGTACAGGTAATGCATACGCTGACGCACGTAATGTATGTAGGTTTCATTATCTTTACAAATAAGATATCTCTTTCAAAATAGTATCTCTGATAGATAGGTTATAATTGATTGTAACATTAAATTTTAGTAAATATATTTATAAATACACGTTGATTTTTATTTATTTCGTAATGAATGCTTAATACTTACAGACAATTTAATTGAAGAATTATTTAATTACAAAGAACAGAGATGAGGATTAAATACGATGGAAATACCAAATGTCTGACTCCTGTGTTCAAGCCAGATTTTAGATATGTAAAAAAGAAGTAGACGATATAATGAAGCCTACAGAGATTAATAGAATAAAGGTAATAAATAACACACAAATAACAAACAAGATGGGTAACAGCGAAGACTTCCACTAGACGGGCACTACGGTACTAATAAATTGCGCATTAAGTAACATTCAATTCTCCATAGCTTTTTTATTCGACTACAAGCGAGCGAGAAGACTGGTTCTTTATTTCGTAAACCGCTAACATCGGTTTATACAATCTAACACTGGTTTTGTTTGATGTGACTAAGAAAATGCTGTAGTTATTTATGTGCGCATTTCGTCAACGTGATTTGCAGTTTAGTCTTAGATGAGGATATAACTGCATTTCTATTTGCCTAAAAACATCAACAGTCGTAAATGAAAATACAACTACGTGGCTATCTACCGTGCAGCTGGCGCTCGTGCAGTCCGCAGCTGGTCACAGTTTTGTTCTGAACTGTCGGTCCAGTAGTATACATAGAAGTCTTTGGGTTAAAAAATATTTAAAAATGACACAGAACACAGGAATCGTACATACATAGATCACTTAAAAAGTACTCTTAAATTACTGGCTGTATATTACGAGTAAAAAAAAATATCTTTATACACATTTGCAACACTTACAGTCTACATTTGGTAACGTCTTAGAGTAGATCGCTTAGAACAAATTAGGACTAGCAGCGTAGATACAAGTTTACAATTCAGTAGGGCGGCGGCGGGAGCGGAGCGCGGGGCGCGGGGCTCGGCGCGGCGCCGGCGCGGTACTACGTGCGCGCGAACTCGGGCCAGCGGTTGTCCTGCGCCCACACCGCCCGGGTTAGTGCGTTAGTGTTCACGTTAAGTGACGTTGTGTTCACTGCTGCCAACTTACCAACCAACCTGCTAGCTAACAAGCTGTTCCCCGTGAATTACATTTCATGTGTTATAATATTTTTTTGAGCAAAACATTAATTATTTTTCTCAAATAATAGTAGCCGATGCATACTCCTACTCCTTATAACTTCAGCTGTGTGGAAATCCCCTAAAAATCGGTCCAACCATTTCGGAGATAAGACGAAACAAAAAGATAGACAGACAGACAAAAATGTTAAAAAAATTTTTTTTGGAGACGCAAGTACGTACAAAAAGGTCAAAACAGACCCTACCACCGTTGTGTTTAAAACAACTAGCGATCTAATAAAGAAATACTCCGAAAAATTAAATCTCGACGTAAATTCGATAATACTATCATGTAACACACCACCGAAGTTGTATGGGTTACCCAAAATACATAAACCGAACGCTCCACTATGTCCCATAGTGAGCCAAATGATTCACCTACATATAAATTGGTTCAACACTTGGCACAAATATTGTCACCACTGAGAGGACACACAAGAACACAAACAAAGGATTCATTCCATTTTGTCAGTGAGATAAAAGACATACATCTTGCCGACAGTGAAACTATGGTCAGTTTTGATGTCCAGTCAGTTTTTACATGCCAACCTAATAAAGACTACATCTCAATTGTGACAAGGAAGCTAGAATAAAACAAATGCTACTACTCAGACATTGCCTCACAACTGGCTATATATTGTGGAAGGAAGAGTTCTACATGTAAGTAGATGTTGTAGCGCACCTATATCTCCCATTGTCACCAATAAAATCATGGAGGACTCCGAAGAGAAAGCCCTCCTTTCTGCACCTGTGTGTCCTAGATTCTACAAGCGGTACGCAGACGACACTTTCACAATTTTACCATCAGACAAAGTTACTGCATTCTTAGACCACCTTAACTCCATAAACTCTAAAATTCTATTCACTATGGAGTTAGAAGCAAATAATTCTTTAGCTTTCCTAGACGTTTTAGTCATTCGAAAACCTAATAACACCATCGGTCATACTGTGTATAGAAAAAAGACCCATATTAACCGATATTTAAAAGGTAAATGTCACCAACATCCTTTACAGTTAGCTACCGTGGGAAAATCTTTGTTTCATAGAGCACAAAAGATCTGTGACAATAATCACCTGGTCGCCGCGCTTCAGGAATAAAAAATAAAAAGGTTAAAATAAAACTCGATAGAATCCGTTAAATTAGTTTTATTCCACGATTGTGAATCATAAAAATCGAACGCCTACTATTCTACTACGCACACACACATTCCTAAGGGTCACTCGGTCGACAAAATCGTTGTGAATTAAATCACATACAGAGCGCGCGAGCGCGAAAATAAATGCGTTAAATGGGTACAGTTTATAAAGGTAGGTTAAATTATTACTTTTACTAGTAACTTTTTAAAATACTGGCGATCTGCCCCGGCTTCGCACATATCGATGACGTCTAGATTCTACAACAGCGCCACCTACCAGGTCCAACTATGCCTATAACCTTCGGGGCATGGCCGTAGCTGGGGGGGGGGGCATTGTGGGGCAATGCCCTCCCTTGAAGTCATAATGCCCTACCTTAAAAATACCTAAAACTAAGATAAATTATTATAATTAAATTGTTTGTCATTGTTTAAGATTAAAAAAAATTGTAGCGGTAGGTATCTAAGCTTTTCCGAACATACCACAGTTTGTGACATTCATTTCCTATTACAATAATTATTTTTTCTGTATGTAGGCTTTTGAAGCGCAATCACATGAAGTGATGGGTGTATTTAATTATAACCCTAATAGCCACTTTAGCTTAAAATTGACGGTAATTTGATGTTGAAATTACCAAAAATTTGTTGCCCGAATTTGCCGATAATTTGACAGCAAAAGTTGAAAATAAAAATTTGCGGTAAATTTTTCTTCTATTTAAAGGTAACTTATACGAAAAAAGATCGTTAATGTTTATTCTTACCATTTCAGAAGGTAAGCAAATCTATACATAAAATTGTCTACAATTTTACGGTAAAAATAATTAATAATTTTTCAAGTCAATTAACAATAAAATGACATAAAATTTGAATATTGACAACAACTTTTTTCTAGTCAACTTTTGAAGTGAATTTGCATTCTAATTCGGGCAATAAACAAGTAAATTTACGTCAGATTCAATAGCAAATTGTATTTAAATTGTCGTAAAAAATGGAAAGTCCGAAGTTGACGGAAATTCAAGGAAACTTTTGTAAAGTAAACTTTTGCTAAAGCAAACCGAGGTATTAGGGAATATAGTCTGTGTTGCATAGGGGATTCCGGTACGGGAAATCCCCTTTTGAACTAAAACAAACATAAACTAGAGATGGATTATTATTGTAGTTTGGTCAAGTGAAGTGTACGGTAAAGAGTGTTTTAGACTAAAAACGATACAACTGTTATTTTTATTGCTAATTGATATAAATTAAAGATTCATTGATTTTACGATTAATAGACGGGCTTTCTTTGGAAAGAAACGAAGAGTTGAAGAGCAAATTGACCAAGAAGAACCTCACTGCTCAAAACAGGTGGACACAAAGTACAATCGATACTCCAAGTTCAATGACAACAGGTTCGTCAACACATGTTGGTCATGTTAGCTATGGTATTCCTTCTGATATTCAACAAATCGGAGAATCAATAAAACAAGTTGTCTTAGACACATATCCAAAATACATAACAGGGCCTTTGTTTTTGATTAGTTTTTGCGTCTTGTGGTATATGAGTGAGAACCTCGTTTAAATTTGAATCATTTTGTACATGTGTGTTCAAATAAATTCTGAAATAATCCTTGCTCTTTTTCTTTTTCCAAAATTTAATTTTCACTCAAAGCTAATTTGTTGATAATTAGAAATTGTATTACTTCAATGATAGAATTCACGTAATGTCTAGACTTTACATGTTTTGGAAACCCAGTTGTAGAATCAGTGGCATTTTCCAGTTTCTAAACTCTGTGTAGGAAATTTACCTGAAATTCAAAATCAAATAATTCAAGCAATACGAAGTTCCATATTCAAAGATATGAATGAATCTGACGTAAAATGGTTTATTCTAATTGAAGATGGGACGAGAGTTAAAAAAACCGTGAAAATATTGCATTAGCAATACGTTACGTCAAGGATGGTGTCGTTAATGAGTCGTTGCTGATGGTTAAGACTACTGAAAACTTTTATGCAGCCAATTTCACGGAATCAACATTAAATACCATTACGGAAAATAACATTGACCCCTCTTATACGCTTAGCCAATGCTATGATGGCGTAAGTGTAATTAGTGGGAAAGTTTCAGGAGTTGCGACTAGATAGAAAATAAATTGAGCCGAAAAATTCACTACCATCGCTTGCACTTAATAGTCATCAAAACTATCTCAGATTATATTTAACTATTTCATTCGTTTATTTTTTGACTATTATATGGTTGAACAAGGATACGCCGACTCCTCGAATAACACTGATCTGGACATTTGGCAGTTACAAAAGTTGTATACGATAATTATTCATCGATTTGGCAAACTTTGAAAGAAATTATAAATGGCAGATTCAACGATGATGACATAGCCAAGAGTATCGGTATTAAAAAAAGTCATGCTTGATCTGGAATTCCGAATGACCATGGTTGTGGCCAAAAAAATCTTATCCACGCTACAACCTGCGGACGCCGCTTTGCAAGCCCGAAGCGCATAATTGAAAGACGTCATAACAATCATAAATTGTGTCGAAGATGAAATTATAAAATTAAGATCAAATTAAATGTGTAACCAAATTCTGGAAGAGGCTACGTCTGCGACGACTGCGGCAAATCTGAGAATAGGATACAGGCAACGAGGGGCACTCAAATATACATATGAACCTTTTGCATCTGTGGCGACCATAGGATGTAACACTGCAGTGTGTGAATCTACGTTTTCAATTCGAACTACAATCAATATGCCTTAAGGGTTGTCAATGGGTCATGAGAAAATGGCTGATATGGTATTTCTAGCTTAAAAACAAAACAAAATCAGTTGATCTGAACGAATCGTAGAATTCTGCTGTTTTAAATATTTTTATTATTTTTAATTTAGTCAATTATTATATTAAGTTTGCAGAAACAATATGATCTAAATGGTATTTTAGTCGTATTTATTTACTCGTATCACCCCACCCAACAATTAATTATTAACTCGCTCTCACTGAGATGTGAATGTCTACATCCAAATTTGGAAGTTCAACCATCTTGTTTTGTTCTTCATCATTGAGGATTTAATAGTTCTTAAATCCATGCTCATGTTCTGTCACAGAAATTATTTGTTTACGAATAGCTATTGAATGTACATCACTGACTAGAGGTCAGTGATATACATGGTGGTAGATTTGGGAGCCCGTGCTTCGAGGGCAGATCAATTAATGATCATTTTGTAATTTTACTTCCGCCCTACCTGTAACCAATGCTGCCCTACCTCTAATTCCACTTTAGCTACAGTCCTGCTTCGAGGGCATGCAAGCAATATATTGACAAAATTTTACCGCAATCTGATGAACGGTATGGTAGCGCATAAAATACGAACAAACAAAAAATATTTTTTGTATATTAGACTAGCAATTTGTCCCGGCTTCACACTGGTGATATCTGGATTCTGCAACAGCTCCACCTACCAGGTTTAACTATGCCTATACCCTTCGCGGAAGTGCAACAAATATGTTTACAAAGTTCTACCGCAAGCTAATAAACGCTATGGCAGCGCATAAAATACGAACAAATAAATATTAATTTTTAAATATTAGATTACGTAACGTCATAACGTAAACACAGAATAGTAGGATAACTCCCATGCCACCCGAGACTTAAATGCCCATTGTTGCAGGGTTGTCACTGTATTTTTGTTTAACAACTAAATCTCATTTAGTAATATAAGTAGTTATAATATTTACAAACATAATACATACGGATACGTACCGATGCATCATGTTTGTTAATCATTTCTATAGTTTCCTCTCATAGACTCAATGTTAAAAAAATCCAGCTTTAGATTATAGTAAATGCCAAATAACTAAAATACGGGTAAATTAACACTGAACATATGGTGTCAGTTCAGATTTAATGTTTAAAATTAATGAGATCTGATGTGATATGATAATAAATGTACTTAAGAGGTTTGTATCTATGAAAAGATATAGTAATATAACCTATTAATGAAAAGACAATTTACTTAAACAAACGCATATATTAATTTATTTTACAAAAGAGAAAATAAAACGAAAAAAGACTGCAAGCAAAATTTTATTAAAAGTCAACAAAGTCTCAAGCAAAGGTAATTGCGGAGTGCAGTGGCGGGCGTCCTCGACTTGGCCAGACCTTTCCGACTTAGCACGTGTCGTTGTGTGAGTATTGTGGCCCGTGCGTACGAGTCCGTACTGTCCTGTTCCAGGCACGCACACATATTAGCGGCGTCCGGTACATTTCTTAGAAGATAGCCTACTATTCTGTTTTTACTATGCAAATGTATAGGGTTGTTTAGTTCATTTTCTTGAAACGCGGCCTTTAACGTATAATATTTTTGTTTGATTTTCGAAGGGTTTACTGAATGGTGACCAAGTAGCATTAGTCAAAAAATAAATATTATTGTATTCATATTTTCCATTCCATTCATATTTTTAACTTTTTCTCATATTGTTTTTTCCTCTCCTTTGAAGTTTAAAGAGTTTAAGCTGTTTGAAGAAAAAATTGTTTCTGCTGATAACATTCATTATGGAATGAAATAGGAGGAGATCTGCTTGAACATTATAGGTATATACTATATTATATCGCTGAAACTCTACAGAAATTTGGCAAATTTTGGGATAGTGGAATTAGGTAGTCTGGCATGTTATCGCGCTAACTAGCTGGTATAGTAAGGTTGGCAACAGTGACGTCACGCAGTGGCGCGGAGCGAGCGACTGCGTGTCAACGATCATGCGGAAAACCGGTCCATCTACACTACAGAGCTCGGTTAGTGGTTTAAATGAGTCTTACTCACCCGGGGTCCCGTGTCGCCCGGATGACCCGGAGTACCCGCCTCGCCCGGCATGCCCGGTTCGCCCGGCAAGCCTACGGGCCCCTGTGTAAATATTTGCAAAAGTTTTATAAAAATACTGAAATATCAAAAGCTTCAATGTGTAACCAGAAGAAAGTTAAATACAAATAATATTATATTTTATCTGCACAACCTTTGATGCCCGTCATCCAAAGGGGTAGGCAGAGACAAGGCACTTCCATTTGCCACGACCTTAGGATACCTCTCCTGCTTCTTTCACATCCATATATCTACGCATACAAGCTCGTCGATTAAGGGTACTCTTAACTTAATCCATCTTCAATATGTCACGAAATTGTGTTGCAGATGTTCATGGGCGTTAGTGATCACTTACCATCAGGTGAGCTGCATGCTCGTTTGCCTCTCCTTATGTAAAAAATATAAATATTGCAAAATTTCTAGGGAGTCTCTTGCTGACTCTGCCCCTCACTCCTGCAGCATAAATCTGCTTTGTCCCTCTCTCCTCATTCATTCTAACAATATCATAGTATTTATATACTTGTACATAATGGAAAATGATGATAACATGTCCAAATCACTGAAGCATTCCTTAATAATCCCGGTCACAACACCTTGCAAACCAAACTTTTCTCTTATCACACAATTTCTCATTCTATAATTCTGACTTACTCCTAACCTATTTCTTAATGACCACATATCTATGGGTTAATTTACTCTCACGCTTCTTTTTCACACCTAATTTTCACTACCATGTATTAAGGTCTAAGAAAACATTGTGTATTGCTACTATAAGTGCATTTTTGTCACATTCTGATATCCTCGCCTATCGTTCTACGTCTTTATTAAGTTTTCCAGCTCTGCTAAACAGACATCCTAAGTACACAAGCTTATCCACATGCCCGACCAACTTCCATCCTATTCTTATTTCATATATCGTTTTACTTTCTTTCTTCCATAAACCACCATATTTTATTTCGTACTTACCATTGCTTTCATACCACCTTACTTTAGTTATAAGTTCTTTGTGTGTTTTATTGTGGAATTATGAATAAATTAAATACATCAAGTAGTACTAACCGGTAATCCCATGGGACCTGCATCTCCTTTCTCACCTCGTTCACCCTAAAATTTTAATATAATTCATGAAATTTGCCAATCAATTGTTACCCTGGTACCTATCACTACACTATATATACAAAAGTACCATTACACTACATGAATATTTGATTGTGATATGTAACAGAATATTTGTGTTCGATCTAAAGAAATTCTTTTACAATGGTATTTCCTACAATTTCTTTCTTATTATTGATCACGTTAACTAAGTAAAATATAAGAATGACTGAAGGTATAATTTAAAAATTTATGCTAACTGTTGTCGGGCTGGAATAATTTTACATACGTTGTAGAACCACGCAGCAGCTATATTATGGTTGTAGCACAAATGGGTCGGTTCAACCGGGGAAGGAGCACGCTCTCACAGAATACCGGCGTAAAATAGCAGCTTAATGCTGCTGTGTTTCGTATGATAACCGGAGACCCTATTTACTGGAAACGAGGCATTACATCTTAGTCTTCAGGGGTGAAAACGCATCTGCATTTTAATTCTTAATTGAGAATAGATGTAGATGTCTATGGGTCACAGCGTCCACTAACCATCAGGTGGACTGTGTGATCGTCTGTCATCCTGTTCTATAAAAAAACCTCCGGTTATAAGATAGGACTGAAGTTAGCCACATAAAGATGCAATAGTTGAGATTAATGCTTTGGATATTTTAAACAACTTGCAACCAACTTTAAAAGATAATGCTACAGGTGCGTTGTTATCAGTGAGTAATGACACAATAAAGCGGATTGCCTTTTGGTATGTAATTACATTGGCTCTCTATGCTCGTATCTCTCAGGACGGACACGGCAGCCGTGCCGTGTTTCTACTGGATGAAAGAAATAGGTGAGAAGGTGGTGCCCACTCACACGTACTCTAAGGCTAAAGAAGTTCTAACAATCAATCAATAAATCAATATATTCTTTATTGTACACCAATACACTTTAAAATGAAAATGAAATGAAATAAATTATATAAAAGGTACAATAGGCGGTTTTATTGTTCTGGAAGCGATTGCTTTTAGGCAACCTTTTTGCGCAAAGAACTGTTTTTACAACGAATGGCAAATAGAAAAGGCGTATTTAAATTAGATAATTATGTAAAAAAAATTAAAAAATAAATACGAAGAAACAAACTAATGACAGTTGAGTATAGGTATGATAGATACAATTAAGGACGGTAAGTATGAAATCAAATCAAACCAAATAATTTATTTGTAAAACATTGGTGAAAAGTTACGAACTTGGTGGACAAGGTATGATAAGTAACACTGTGTTTCGCCTAAAAAAGCATAGGTACAAATATTTGGTTATCATTATCACTTGGCATTATGAATATTAATGTTTAATAAAATAACAATTTCAATTATAATTGGTATGTTTAGAAATTACATAAATTATTATCTTAATTATCTATTACATAATTCTTAATAATATAAAGATAAAAATATAATAAATAAATCGGACGTTAATTGTAGGTAGTAAAAACCATTAATTTTATCTTCAAAATATTCGTTGATAGAGTAGTATGTTTTATTTATTAAAAAACTCGAAGTATGATGATAAATATTGGAACTACAAGAGACCGAGCACGAATATATATATATATATATATATATATATATATATATATATATATATATATATATATATATATATATATATATATATATTTATATTTGCAAGGAATTCCACAAGCGTACAACAGTAACCAAAAATGATTTATTAATGAAGAAGGAGAATGAATGTATACCAAGTGAATCTTGGGTCCTTACATATGAAATTAACGTTTTGTCGTACTGACCACTTTGATCTGACATATCTCATCTTTGATTAAGAATTCCAAATTCAAATTTATAAATTCATTTAGCAGGTACATTTGAGTTTTGAAAAATGTCATTCATTTGTTTGTTCCTCATTATTTTTTTCTTTAGCGTCTCTTATTACCGCACAATGGAAAACATGAAATATCGGTATATTTACGAGTACGAGTTCTACCGCGGCACCAGTGCTGCAGACACAGCTCGAAGGATAAGTGATGAGTGCGGCGCTGGTGTTGCAAAACAAAACACCGTACGTTTTTGGTTTCAACGTTTTTTTTCTTCAGAACCAACCCCGTGGACGGCCGGAGACCAAAGTGGAAAATGAATAATTAAAGGCTATTGTGGAAGCGGATCCATCACAAAGCACTTCAGAGATAGCTGCAGGCTTTGGGGTAAGTGATAAAGCTGCATTAATCCACTTAAAGCAAATCGGAAAAGTAAAAAAAACTTGTACGATGGCTGCCTTATGAATTGAGAGAATCGAACTTGCAAACACGCGTCGACTGCTGTGTTACTTTGCTCAACAGACACAGAAATGAAGGGATTTTAAATCGAATCATTACTTGTAATGAAAAGTAAATACTATAAGTTGATTACGATCCGAATCTCAACACTACAAAAAGGAGAAAGGACATAGTATGTCCTTCAACGACGGTTAAATCCAGCTTAGCCAAGAGACACTACACCTATCTCAGTATATGCATATACAACAAAACAAATAGGCTGTATATATATGTCCTCTCCCTGAACACGAACTGGCTCAAATCTTTAACATACGAATCCACTGAAAGTTTCTTACATCCTCAACTTTAATATCACGCACATTATATATTAGTATAAGTTATTATGTACTTTAATCTAAAATATGTATCTATATAATTTAATTAATTGGCTTTGTTACATTATACTTCAATTTACTAAATGTCGATTTTCTCAAAACTCTACTACTAACTCAAATAAATGAAAATAATGATGTCTTCAATATACTATAAAAACGTGTAACTCAGGATGTACAATCCGTGAGGAGGGACCCGGTGACCTATAGAACAGGTATTGTTTAATACCTTTATTAGGCACCAGCCTCTCACAAACTAGGGTTCATACGTTTATAGTTTAACATGTTTGTCATTAATTAGTCTGAAACTGTTAACACTTCCATGCCTTTATATATATGAGGTAGCCGTCTTTGTTATTACGCATATTTCTTTATTTGAGTGCCTAGACAGTTAACGTAATAATCATAAAATATGTTTTCCATCAAACAAAACAGCCCAATTTAATAACAGCATATTTTGTATGGCCCCTCGAATTTATAACCATTTACCATTACACATTTTGAGATATTCCAACATAGATAATTTTAAAATACTATTGAAGCAATTTCTTGTTAATAAATCATTCTACAGTGTGAAAGAATATCTCCAAGATAAATACGGAATTCAATAATTGACTAATACATGACTCAGTATAACTAAATTGACTTGACTTATATAATATTATCTAAATTGATTTTTCGCTATTAATTTTGATTATGAACTCCAATTATAACTAAAGCATGTTTAAATAATTTAATATAAAACTAATGAAATGTGATGAATATTGAATGCCAAATGGCGGAATATAGCTGTACGTGTATGTTCTCTAAATGATAAACTATGACAATACCATCTGTATCAACCTATATTCGCAATAAATGATTTGAATTTGATTTTGAAATAATACTGTACCTGTTTGTGATGAGGAAACAAATATAATTTCTATTCTATTCTATGCTGTACGATAATCGAAAGCGCTCGTCGCAATGGCTGAACCCTGGAGACCCAGCCAAATCCTGCCCTAAACGAAAATTGACTCAGAAAAAGTTAATTGTAAATGTTTGGTGGACTAGTGCCGGTGTCGTTCACTACAGCTTTCTAAAATCTGGCCAAAAGATTACGGCAGATATCTATTGTCAGCAACTGCAAACCATAAAGAAAGAACTAGCTGCTAAGCAACCGAGATTTGTCAATCGCTCTAGGCCACTGATGCTTCACGACAACGCAAGACCACACACTGCACAACAAACAACCACTAAGTTAGATGAGCTACAATTGGAATGTCTGCGACATCCACCGTGGTCCCTGGACCTTGCTCCAACAGATTACCATTTTTCCGGAATTTGAACAACTTCTTACAAGGAAAAAAATTCAACTTCGATGCGGCAGTCCAAACCGCCTTCAAAGAGTTTATTGATTCTCGCCGCCATGGTTTTTTTTTTTGTAAAGGGATCAATGAACTACCTATGAGATGGCAAAAGTGCATAGATAACAACGGTGCATACTTTGATTAATAAAAAATATTTTACAAAAAAAATTACTTTATATTCCCCCCGTACAAAACGCCAATTTCATATGTAAGGACCTATTAAATAAGAGGACAGGAGAGGACTATCGGGTGTGTGGCAGTTCGCGGGTACGTACGGCCTTCCCGCGCGTGCCCGGCTCGCCCTTGTCGCCCTTGATGCCGGGGGGGCCCGCCACGCCCGGCGAGCCCGGGGAGCCCGGCGCGCCCGGTGGACCCATCATCTGCGGACACACATCGACACCATGCCTTATATAGTCTGTTCGCTAACATAGTGTCGGTACACCCAGAAGCACAATTACTTTACTATTTTGCTTTTATTTTATTATATTTTACTGTGTTATTAAATAAATGTTTTCTATTCTAACCCCGGCAATACATGTTGGCCAAGCCTCAGCTAACGCGAGCATAGGCAAATTGATACAAGGCAAGTGCCACAGTCTACACGTTGGTCAAGTTTGAAAGAGATCAATTCCAAGGCCAATGTTCACGAGTTTTTGTGGAGCTGTCTACATGTTGACCGTAATTAGGCGTCATTGAGAATTGGTATGATATGGACGATGTAAAATTTAATGCAGCTTTTGCTATTTATTTAATAAGTGCATAGTGTGGCAAGTGGCAAGTGTAACTGACATGGGCGACTAACATGTGGACGCGACTTGCCGAGTGCAGGCGAGCGCCTTTGATTTGTGCTGAAAAACCAACACTGTTCCGAATTCCGAAGTGGATGAGTCCTAGCGAGCGATCTTGAGTGGCGGCAAGGAACGCCAAACGAACCGTATACACGTTGGCGTTCGCCTGCACTAGGCCAGCTAGGCAAGCGTTGAAAAGAAATGGCGAGGCTGGACAAATGAGCTGTCTATACATTGGTGCTCGCCTTCGCTCGGCCAACATGTATAGCCGGCTTAAGAATATAATAGAATACTATTTTATACTTATGGTTACTGTAATAAAATACCAGTATAAATAATAGGCACAAGTTAGGTATCAAAGAGAATATAAATGAAAAATATGAGTAGGTAGGTAAACATAAACGAAAGTAAAATGGACACGATTCTTCATCGTCAGAGTCATTACCACCAGTATTTATAATAAGTCATTCAACGTATCGTGTTCTGAATCTGTACTAAAATAGTAGGTATTTTTGTCATCGGTTCACTCAAAATTTCATCTTGAGGCACTTTACTATCCTCCCAAGGATAAAAAAACATTTTCTGTATACGTAGCAGAATCAACAAAAACAACTTTTCACTACGGCGCTTTGTTTTAAAATATCAAGCCCAAATTTTCTGCAGGTGTACGCTGTCTTTGACAAGACGAATCTTTGATATAATTTGCACACAATTTGTAAATTTGCGTTTTATGAAATCATTATGATAAACTACGAACTGCTATATCTTTTTCATTTTTCAATCGATGATTACCATAAACTTCATATTAATTTTAAATTTTAGTTTAATTGTTTATTAAATAAAATAGTAATAACATATCAGAATTTAATAAGGAATTACGACAACTTACCATTTCATGTCCATAAAGTTCATAGCCGGTGCCATCTCCCTGCAAATTCAACAGTGGCTATAAAGATTAACAGTTTCGTGCTGATTCATGTGAGCTATCAGTGTTTTACTTAACAATAAACTCAAATCAAGATTCAAAAAGGAATAAGTGTATAGTAATAATTTTTAATATAATATTACAATAAAATAATTTTGATAGGAGTATTTAAAAATGTCACACAATGAAGCTAATTACGTGAAATTTTATTTAATTTCAATTTTATTAGATATTTGTTTAAAGTCATTTGCAAGAGTGTAAATAAGAGGAGATAGTTACCTGCCTTCTTCTCAGCTTCCTGTACTTCTGATTGACAGCCGCCGCAACGCCCCGGGAACATGCAACAGCGGATCGTTACATATACACATTACTTATCAGACATTACAATAAACAACGACACAGCTTGAATATGTTAAAAGAAATCTTTCCCACGCTAGCTTCTATGCCACGCTGCAGCAATATTATAGTTGTAGCACGAATGGGTCGGCTCCACCGGGGCGGGACCACGCTCTCACAGAATACCAGCGTAAAATAGCATTGTAATGCTGCTGTGTTACGGATGGTGAGTGTAAGATACCGTAGATTTTTTACTGGAATCGAGGTATTCCATCTTAGTCCTCAGGGGTGACAACGCATCTGAATTTTATTTCTTAATCGAGGATAGATGTAGATGTTTATGATCCACAGCATCCACTTACCATCAGGTGGACTGTGTGCTCGTTTGTCACCTAATGCTATAAAAAATTTATTTGAGGGGATTTTTACGCATATATGATAAAGAAACACTATAGAAATGCAACAGACAAATGAGACTTTTACAGCCTATTAAAGTTCATTGCTGAGAACATAGGCCTCCCCTTAAACTCTCTCATAAGGGCAGTGTTTACCATAGTTGCCACGCTTGCCACGCTTGGTTGGCATCCCACCCTGGGTTAGCGTCCGCAATTTTTTATTTTCTAGTTGTTACTAGGATGATGCTGCTGCCCAGCTCGTGGTTCTTTCTTTCTGTCGCCTCTTACGACACCAACTGGACGAAATGGAGCAATGGTAATTATTACACTGCTATGCTGTTACAGGGTGAAAATAACGTGTAATTTCTATGACATTTGTAAAAGATTTGTTTAGTCTGGCAGTCCATCGCCTTTAATATGGCCATACGACCACGCTGGCCCGAGTCGATCACGCTAGACATAAGACGGAAAATCAGCCGAGCTAGTCTCGCGCATGACCGATCTGCGCATTGGCTTCAACATATTACAGCGAAGCATTACAACACTAATACAGCTTCCATACGTTCTATTCAGTGTTCTGGAGTCAAAGACGTCACTTTTTATAGTTATCTGCTTAACTAGACAGTCATGACAATCGATCTCAATTTGCGAATCTTATGTCTGGTTGAGGACTCGTATGGGCTTCTACTTTCTGACATCTCGTTTAGTAGTGTTAATTAACCATTTTGTTAAGGAATATTGAGTTACTTAAAAAAGTTGTATTTAATTTGTAGGCAATTTTATTACGGAAACCGTATAAGAACCCCGATCCTCGTATTTGAATGTTTGTCCTTGTGAAATTTATGTTTGTAAACTATACCACGATACAAGAGAAAATCCTAGTGTGAAGGTTATGTTTATAATAGAATAAGATCTATTTTGTATTTATTAACATTCTTACCGTCTGACAACGTTTATTTGGTAATAATTACTTAAAAAAAATGTTTACTCACCGAGTCTCCCTTATCCCCTTTATCACCCTTGAGACCCGGGTACCCGGGCGGGCCGGGCAGGCCGGGGGCACCCAGCATGCCAGGCGATCCCATGTCGCCGTAGTCTCCTTTCTCTCCTTTCGGTCCAATTTCGCCCTATTTAAAAATGCATTAATATAGCAATTGTCGATTGAATGAACTTATATATGAGTTCGAAGAAAAGTCTTTCTTCTTTAATAAACGATTAATTAAACCTAACACTAGCACACTAAAACTATGACATCTAAGGTAACCTTGAATAAAACTACTTTTACTGATTTTATAGCGTTTTATTTATTTTATTGTGGAAGGAAGAGTTTTACAAGCAAGTAGATGGTGTTGCGATGGGCTCACCTCTATCACCCATTGTCACCTACATATTCATGGAAGACTTTGAGGAGAAAGCCCTACTTAATGAACCTGTTACACCAAGGATCAAGAAGTGGTACGCAGACGACACTTTCACAGTTTTACCATCAGACAATGTAACTGTATTTTTAGAACATCTTTATTCCATAAACTCTAAAATTCAATTTACTATGGAGTTAGAGGCAAATAATTCCTTAGCTTTCCTAGATAGTCATCCGAAATCCTGACAACACCATAGGTCATACTGTGTATAGAAAAAAGACCCATACAAACCGATATTTAAATGGTGCATCTCACCATCATCCTTCACAGTTAGCTACCGTGGGCAAATCTTTGTTACAGAGAACACGAGGGATCTGTGGCAGCAAACACCTGGCCGCCGAGCTTCATCACGTCAAGCAGGTTCTGCACGACAACAAGCTTCAGGTCCCGCGCCTATGTCACAGTGACCGAGTGAAGCCGGCCACAGTCGAGCGTGTGCCGCCGAAGAAGATTAGTCAGTTCTTACCATCCGTCAAGTGTCATATTCCTCTACAAGATGCAGGAGTGTACAAGCTTGATTGTGATTGTGGTCTCTCATATACAGGGCAAACAAAGAGATCAATCAGAACCCGCGTAAAAGAACACATAGCTGTCGTGATGCGTCAACGTTCCGGGAAATCTGCAGTTTGTGATCATATCCTAGACGGCCCCAACCATTATATCAGATTTGATAGACCACTAATCCTCGCGAAAGAACTTCGAGTCCTATCAAGGATGATACGTGAGGCTATTGAAATTAAAAAAAACATTCAAATTTCAATAGAGAAGGAGGCTGGGTACTACCACCTGCTCGGGACCCTATAATTAATAAAATTAAAACTAAACCCAAGCATACCACTGCAAGACTTCAAACACAGTTAGTTCATTCTGCGTAGATCGGACCAAGGACAAGAATTAAAAAGCTGAAGGTACTCCGGGTTAACATTGACATCGGGACGTCAGTCGCGTCAGTCCCCCAGCGCCGACTCAAAATTACTTAGGTATACTTACATTAGTTTAAGAACTTAGTTATTAAGGTTAATTAAAAACTCAAAATAATTACAAAAATATATACTTAGGTACATTTATATTAGCTTAAGAACTTACTTACTAAGGTAAAAAAAAGGTTTATTATTTTTGCTTTTTAATTTTTTCGTAATTTTTAATTTTTTTTAAAGGTTTTATTTTATAATATTTGTGGCTATAATCTAGTAATTCCTACATGCTTAACTTTTGATTGCTTTTAAAATAGCTACTTACCTTACTTTAGCTAGTAACTGTTATATAATCATACTTTAACTATTATTTGTTTAAAGCTGTAATCGACTTCGGAAGGAAAAAGTTTGCCAAAGGGCAGGCATATGTGGCACTGAGTAGGATAAAAATACTTGAGGGTACTGCTTTATCAGATCTAGAGCCAAATAAGACATTACACAAACCTGACGATGAACGAGCTTTATCAGAAATGCAGAGACTGAGATGTCTGAACACAAGAGACTGACAGGTCTAAAGCTCATTCATCGTGAGGTTTTTTGTACTGTAATGTAATTATTATATAATTTTGTAATACACAACTCTTTAAAATCTGTGAGTAAACAACAAATCACCCCTATTTTTCCACCTTTTGGGTAATTTTTTTTTCACAATTTATATGAGACCAATTTCGAGGTATGTACCCTACCCAATAAAAAATAATTATCAAAATCGGACTACTTTCTAATAAATCACCCTTATTTTTCCACCCTTAGGTAATTTTTTTCCAAATTTATGTGGGACCAGTTTCGGGGTATACCTTATCCAATAAAAATAAAGAATTATCAAAATCAGACTACTCTTTTTAATAAGTCACCTCTATTTTCCCACCCTAGGGTAAAAACTTTTCCAAATGTATATGGGACCAATTTCCGGGTGAAACCTATGCAATAAAAAAAGAATTATCAAAATCGGACCATTCTGTAATAAATCACTCCTATTTTCCAACCCTTAGGGTAAAAATTTTATTCTAAATTTATATCGGACCAATTTAGAGGTATAACCCTTTCAAATAAAAAAAGAATTATCAAATCAGACTACTCTGTAAAAAGTTATGCGTGGTCATACATAAAAAAAAATACGCATCGACTTGAGTACCTCCTCCGTTTTTTCGTCGGTTGATAACAGCAGATATAGCATAACTTACCTTCAGAAACCAATATTAATTATGTAACCACAAATAGCTTGAATGTTTCATTTTATTAATTAATGTAGGTTATAATGTTGGTTGAACTCAAAGACAATTTAAAAAAAATTAAATTAAAATGTATACGAGGTTGAATTTGACCATGAGAAATTGTAGTTTTACAAAGTTACACAGCAGTAGAAGGCGTAGAAGTGTAGTCAGTATAATACCAAGCTGAGGCATTACATCCTATAGGTGCTCCTGTGGTGACGACGCAACCGTGTTTTTTATTTGAAGTTAATTCCAAGTGGCCATGGGCGGCGGTGGCCATGGGCGGCGGTGGCCACTCACATCAGTTGGACAGGTTGTTGTTTGCTCTCCCAATGCGGCATAAAAATGTTGATTCTGAGAGATCTTATGTTTACGCGAATACAACACATTTAAATGAAACTAGTCATTACGAGCACTTTACAGCACGCATGGTCACGGCCAGACTGAGGTGTTCCACATCCCAAAATCAAAATTCAAAAATATAGTTTTATTTAAATTCATGGGAATGTAATACGTTGTAGAGCTACGCTGCAATTATATTGTGGTAAATGTAATTACTAACGGGCTTGCCTGGCGGGCCGGGCAGGCCGGTGGCCCCCGGGCGTCCGTCGGTGCCAGGTGGACCGCGGGGTCCCGCTGGCCCCACCGCCGCAATCCCCGCCGGGCCCGGCGCTCCTGCAATACACCAACATTCTTTAATTGCATCGTCGATGATACCTAGTAGTAGTAATAAATATAGATAATGTTACAAAGAAAGTACTGATCAAACATTACCACCTTAGACTCTAGTCTAGTTTAGTTAATAATAATAAGCTCATACGCACAAAAGCTAACTGCTAGAGCGATTCTCGGTAGCAACAAACCGCGTAAGCTCTCAGATGCCGCTACAATTAGTCCTATGCTAACCGTAATGGTTTATTAAATTTACGCGAACACTACACATTGAATAAAACAATATGCTAACCGTTTTAAATTTTTCGATGTCGATTCTACGGTATCCAGTCGCAACATCAAAATAATTGGTTTCGAGAAAGCAGACGTTGTTTTTTTTATAGAACGAAACGAGCTGCGGCTCACCCGATGCTAAGTGACTACCGCCGCCCATGAACAACCGCAACACCAGGGGAATTGCAGATGCGTTACCAGCCTTTTAGAAAGGAGTAAGATCTTTTCTTGATGGCCCCTAAGTCGTATCGGTCCGGAAAAATCGCAGCTGGTAAACATCTCCACTGAGAAGTTTTACGAGGAAAAAAACTCCTAGTAAAACGCACAGTGGTGGACCGCCAAGCATCCAGATGGTGAGAATGGTATCGGGAATTTTGATGTGATGTGCGATCGTGAAATTTGGCGGATGGAACTACTACGAACGATTTCTCAGAACACTCCCCACGGTAGATACGATAGCAAACACAAAGGGATGCAGTTCCCTACGCAGCGCCAGTGAATCAAGCTAATCAGAAAGAACTCGGTTGTCAGCGATTCTCTCTATGCACCGGATGCTGTCAAGTGGAATATGCTGGCACTGGGGTGGCTCGGCCCAGAGATTGCAATTTTGCAGATTTGCAGCAAGGTTGCAGAGTTGCAAGCGATGTGCCGGCATGAAATACTGCCTCACTCTGCTGAGCACGCCAAGCTTTTTATAGGCCAATTTGGCCTTTCCTTCCATGTGACCACGAAACTGCAGACACTAATCGATATGTCGACGCAGAGGATTCCGATGCTAGATGAGGCAGCTAGAAGAGTGCCTTCAAACTGAGGAGATACGACAAAGGGGTTCATTTTAGTGGTAAGCGCGCTAACTTATGTCTTCTGGGGATTGAACTTGACTAGATTTAGTCACCCCCATTCCGAGACTGTTCAAAAAGACTCGACTTTAGGCACAAGTTTGTCCCGGTACTCAGCGATGTTTTGGCGAGAAATATTGGCACGGCCGGTGCATAAAGCATCACCAGTGTTGTCGTCTACGTAGCAGTGAGTGTTACCAATTTGCAACATATCATTGATTTGCTGAAGATACAGCTTTGGTGATAGCACGAAGCCTTGTGGAACACCAGCGTTAATAGGCTTGTAATCAGAGCATGCACCGTCTACTATGACCTTGATGCTTTGATCAGCAAGGAAACTGATGATCCAATTGGACAATTTCTCGGTAGGCCAATAGGAAGGAAAGTGTCCAAACTAACAGCCAATGCTCCCCCCCCCCGGACTCTACTGTCTCCGCCCATCCATGAGTCAGGTAGACCAGAGGATCACCAGCTGATCGATCAGGACAAAAAACGTACTGGTGGTCATTAATTAGCTGGTGATCCACAAGGTATCTCATGAGCTGGCAGTTTATAATGGTAATAAAATATACTCCATTATTTTGAAGAACTGGGAGGTGGTGGCGATAGGCCCGTAGTTGGACGGGTCTGAATGGTCGCCTTTTTTAGTGATCCACCCGATCACCGTTTACCTATGTTCTTTTTTAATTCTTTAAATTATGGTGGATACCGAAAAAATTATGACTATATCTGCTACTTGAAAAGATTACTCAATAAATAAATGTTCAGTAGTTAAATAGTGCTCAGGATTCTCAGGCTTGTCGCATCTACGTAAGGCAGCGGCCAGTCGGGAATCAAACCGTTCATGTTTCAACAGTCACTGTGAAAATTCTGGCAGTTGGAGGCTGGTGCAAACCGAATGTATATGCAACAAGACAACAAAACCGGTTGTAAAGTATGTAAATATATGGACAAATGGAAATAGGCATAATAATAATATGATTGTTCCATGTATGAACTTAGCTTGCACATTCCCCACACATTTTAATGTCGCAGCACCTTTAGTATGTAAAAAATAATCAGTTTCATAATATAACGATAAGTGATCAGCCTTTTACCGCTGTAGCAGTTGTTCCCCAGTACGTATGAGCTTCAAGAGAAAGTATGGAGGTAGTCATAAATTTGTAAATGATGACGGTGGTGGCGTAGGACAAAAATATTACCGCATGTCATCTTGTGGAGTCTTGTCAGGTTTTAAACCGAAAAGTATTGGGGACTTTTGATAGATATCGAAATAAATACTTTGTATGTTTATGATTGAGTAAATAGAGTCCTTGTTAGGGGTTTACGTTAAGCAGTGGACATGAGTTGCGCTGTAATAATAAAGATGATGACGACAATGCCGTGTGTACCCAGACTAATAATGGCGAGCTTTTCAATAAATAAGAACTGACAAAACGTACGGCGCAAAACGTTTTTTACTGCGATTATTAATCCATCTGCTAAGGCGATTACGGAAAATCCCGACTACTAAGGAAAATTACCATGTTGGGTATTATTAGATTGTTTTCGAGCTGATGAGAAAAATAGAAGAAAAAGATTGATGAAAAACTGTCTCATTTACGAGTAAAGTAAAATTCAAAATAAATGCCACATTAGAGAACAAGGGGAGAAATTAAAAAAAATATATATAAATATTAAAATAACCTTATAGTAATGGAAAATAGAGGCAAAAAGAAGAACCAAATGTTAAAAAAACTGGTTTACCTGTTTCTAAGTATAATGGAGCTGCAGCAGCGCCGGCAGCCGCCGTCTGTGCGCCGTCGGTATTAACGTTGTCGTTAAAAACGTTGTCGTTAAAAACGTTGTCGTTAAAAACGTTGTCGTTAAAAACATTTTACGCAGAACGAGCGCGTTAGTTGTCATTTGTACCGCTACCATAACGAGCCTACTTGAACAGAACGGTTAGCTGTGCGAAGTTAGAAAACCATGCATTCATGCTAGTGCAATAGTTCTGACCTATGATTCGTTAGACACATTCTCAAGCTCATGCTACATGCTCAATAACAATTGAAGCGAAAGGACAGAAACTGCACATGTTCAGATCTGGGAAAGAGGAAAGGGAGATCCAAGTATGTATAATTGTTGTCCTACATTTAAATTTACAAAAGTGAACATTGTTGAAGTGAATAAAGTAGTTTCAAACATAAAATATGTATTATCATTTCAACTGGATTATATACAAATTATGTGTAAAGTGTATGAGGAATTTCATGTTTGATGTTATGCAATTACGTAATATGCAAATATACATAAATAAAAAAGAAGAAGGAATGAAGTGCTTTGAATGCTGTATATTTTCCAAGAAATTAAAAAAAAATCGTACAAGTGAGTAAACTGGAAATAAAACTTTCTTTATTATGCAACGTTTGAAGAATTAGTTGAACCTGAAATGAACTATAGAAAATACCAGCAAAATCTTTTCTCTGACGGAAGATCATCTTCTAGAAAGGTTTGTGAAACAACGATACTCGGAACCTTATTAATATGTAATAGAAAATAAATGAATAGCAGTAAGCCTATAGAATACTATAATACACAATAGAATGGCTGTCAACCTTATTTTGTACGAGGATAGGCGTCTCCGGGAGCACACATACACGCATTTATGTCGTATTATCACTTAATCACTACTACAAACCTGATTCGTCGTGTTGACAGACGGATTTTAATACATATTTATTTGTAAATAGCGTGCAATTGAGCATTTTCTAAATAATTTCCATGCGAAATTTGGAGACGATTGTAACGTCAAAACACATCTCGTGTTGACATATATACGTGTGAATTGACGTGTTAGTAGCATTTTAGTGGCTACACGGGCTCCACCCACTTCCTCGTTCTATTATGTACGTATTATAGTATTCTACGAGTAAGCCGGTTACGTGTCGTCGAAACTTCTATATTGGTAATTTAACTCAAATTTTTATTGTTAGATACGTTCGGGATGAATGTAAAAGGTGCATTTTTATAAAAAGGCGAACTTTGTCTTGAGTTTGTCGTGTCTTTTGTGCTATTTCTTTTTGTACTCGATCAGTAAATATTTTCTTTTTTAATATTTCAATCAACTGCAAGATTTAAGAAGAATTTATTATACAATCTATTACTTTTACTCGGAATTTCATTTTGATTATACGTTTTTCAAAGACTACTACGTTACTGGCCTGTGAAGATTCTGAGCTGGGTAAAGAAATATCCGAGCCTGAAATCAACAGTAACTATTGTTTATTTCTATTTGAAAATACCACTGAAGAAATAGTGGAGTATGTAGGTATAATTTTGTTTTAAGAGGAAATCGTAAAAGCGAACATGCGTAGCGAAGGAAGGGTAGGAACGTGCACGATGCACGTGGACTGAAGGCCCGCGGCCGAGAGCGGCGGGTGATTGGCAGGCAGGTAGTGGCGGCTGGCAGGTGGGTGGCAGGTTGGTGGCAGGTAGGTGGCAGGTGGCAGGCGCGTACCCGCTTTCCGCGCTTGCCACGCGCGCCGCGCTCTCCGGGCGGGCCGGGCACGCCCGCCGCGCCGCGCTCCCCGCGCGCCCCATCCGCGCCTTCAACACACCGCCGCTTCAGACAGCGAACCACACTCGCACACACGCACACAGGGCCGGGGCATGGGGACACTTACAACTACTATTTATTGCTTTAACTACGCAACTAGTACATACAACTCTACCCGACAGCCGACGTTAATCGTGAAAAAAATTAATTTTGCGGAGTCTCGAAAATAACACTGCGCTTATTGTGAGTTGTTGAAGGATGATACCACAATTAACCATCCGATATAATAAAACAAAGTGCAGTTATTTTACCGAGAGCTCGCGCATCCGTGCGGGTGGTGCGTGTAAGCTACTGAGGCCCGTGAATTGTTAAGGCGAAGCGAGTTAAAATTCGGTGAGGTAAAATTTATAGGCCTTACCGGGAGGCCCGGGAGGACCCGGGGGACCCTCGATAATGCCGGTAGGAAAGGCGTCGCCCTTAAGTGTCGTCGTGTATCCACGCTCGCCCTTGTCACCCTTATCGCCCTGCAATTGTCATAAAAAACTTATCAATATCATCGACTTAAATATATTTGTCTAATGATTTCTTATATTTACGCGAACACTACACATTGAAATAAACTAGTTTTTACGGAATTTATCGCGTATATTTAACTTTTTAATACCCGACGTTTCGAACGCTTTACAGCACTCATGGTCACGGGCGGGACTGAGATGTTCAATGTCCATATGTCATAGTTAACCGCGGTTACCATAGATTAAAATTTTACTTTTGTTCCGATCTATGCAGTATGAACTTATGGTATCTTGAAGTCTTGCAGTTGTATGCTTGGGTTGGGATTTAATTTTATTTATTATAGGATCCCAAGCAGATGGTAGCACCCAGCCATCTTCTCTATTGAAATTAGGATGTTTTTTGATTTCAATAGCCTCGCGAATCATCCTTGGAAGGAATCGGTGTTCTTTAGCGAGGATTTGCGGTCTATCAAATCTGATGTAGTGACGGGGGCAATCCTGTACGTGTTCACAGACTGCAGACTTCCCGGAGCGTCGATTCTTCACATCAGCTATATGTTCTTTAACGCGTGTTTTTATTGATTTTTTAGTTTGTCCTATGTAGGAGAGACCACATTCACAATCAAGCTTGTACACTCCTGCATCTTGCAGAGGGACATTACACTTGACTGATGGTAAAAACTGACCAATCTTCTTCAGCGGCTTGAAGTATGTTTTGATCGAAGCGCGCTTCAAGATGTAGCCAATCTTGTCAGTGACTCCTCTAACATATGGCAGTACAGCAGGTACACACTCGACTGTCGGCTTCACTCGTTCACTGTGACATAGGCGCGGGACTCGAAGCTTGTTGTCATGCAAAACTTGCTTGACATGGTGGAGCTCTGCAGCCAGGTGTTTACTGTCACAGATCCCTCGTGCTCTCTGAAACAAAGATTTACCCACGGTAGCTAACTGTGAAGGATGGTGGTGAGAATCACCATTTAAATATCTATCTGTATGGGTCTTTTTTCTATACACAGTATGGCTCAAGGTGTTATCAGGATTCCAAATTACTAACACATCTAGAAAAGCTAAGGAATTGTTTGCCTCTAACTCAAATTCAGTTCACAATGGAGTCTCCTACATAGGACAAACTAAAAGATCAATAAAAACCCGCGTTAAAGAACATATAGCTGATGTGAAGAATCGACGCTCCGGGAAGTCTGCAGTCTGTGAACACGTACAGGATCGCCTCCGTCACTACATCAGATTTGATAGACCGCAAATCCTCGCTAAAGAACACCGATTCCTTCCAAGGATGATTCGCGAGGCTATTGAAATCAAAAAACATCCTAATTTCAATAGAGAAGATGGCTGGGTGCTACCATCTGCTTGGGATCCTATAATAAATAAAATTAAATCCCAACCCAAGCATACAACTGCAAGACTTCAAGATACCATAAGTTCATACTGCATAGATCGGAACAAAAGTTAAATTTTAATCTATGGTAACCGCGGTTAACTATGACATATGGACGTTGAACATCTCAGTCCCGCCCGTGACCATGAGTGCTGTAAAGCGTTCGAAACGTCGGGTATTAAAAAGTTAAATATACGCGATAAATTCCGTAAAAACTAGTATTATTTCAATATTTGTCTAATGGTTATTTTTCTCGCAAGACATATTAAGTGATAATAAAAATACGGAAAAATTTCTGTTGCGTGGGTCGATATTTAATAATTTTTTCGGAGGTTGACTTTTTTAAATACGAAAATTACAAAAGCGATACTGACCTTGAGTCCGGACATGCCCTGTGGACCGGGTGGTCCTTGGGGCCCCTGTATGCCCTGAGGGCCAACAGGACCCGGGGGGCCCTGAGCACCCGGTGCCCCCGCTCGACCCTCGTTGCCCGCTAGCCCTGTTGCCCCAGTCGCGCCCGGTGGTCCCGGTGGGCCCGGCTCACCCGGTTCACCCTGTCATATTTTTGTTAGTGATTAACATAAAGCAAGGCGTAAATTGTCATAAAATTAATATTTGATAGGGACAGGCAAAAGTCAAAGTCTCTTTAAAGTCTCTTTCTTAATAACTTTAAAAAAAAATTCAAAAATATCAAATAATTTTTTTAAATTGGATTTTAACGATTCTATATATGGAATTCAGTGTGTTTTTTTTTTTTGATGAAAAATGGCAAATTTTTCAATTAACGCAATAATATCAATATAAAGAACTACACATATACTACAACTGGCCAATAACAGTAATGTGAACAAAACGCACTCTACAATGATATAAATACCTTGTTAGCATGACGGGTGTAACACTTGGGCCTCATGGTAGTTAAAAGGTTTCCTCTACGTAACACGTGTGTATTATTGTAAGTATGAAAAGTGCAGTTTGCTGTTCGATTAACATCGGAGGAGTCTGCTCTAATTATTTAGCTGGGCAGATCCGGTTTCATTGCATATGGTACAACTAGCATATTCGAGACAGTTATTTAATTCAATTGTTTTTACTGTTTTTATTTAAAAAAGAAGAGAAAGTTTACATTTTTTTTTGTACTTATGTTACAGGATATCTTCTCTTCTTCTTTTTTTTAATAAATAGGTTTTTTAATTAAATGGTCGTAAATATAAATATGGAAATTAAATTTCACCCATAAGGGAGGCAAAATGGAGTTAATAAGAGAATAGTGTTTAATGCAAGTATTTAGACGACATTAATGAGTAAAAACTACTGTAATAAAGTAGTAAAAGCTCGACTTCACTAAAAAGAATAAAATAATTTTACTTTATAAAGTGGAGGTTAAAATGATAACTTTAGACTTTTCTTATAATAAATACAAGTTAATTAACAAAAAATATACCTAATATGAACAAATATTTTCATTACTTTGAAGTGATAAAGGCTTAAAATATTATTTAATATAATGTTTTAGTAAAGAATATTAAATAATATAATAGTTTAGTTAAAAAGATTATATAATATGCTATTTTAATAAATCGAAATGAATTTAATAATCATTTTATTGTTAACTCATAGAACACTATAATACCTACTATGATCGTATTAGCAGAAAACAATACAATTTGCTGTTTCGAGTTGCATTACCTTGCACCCTTGGTAGATGATAAATTAACATAAAAACTAAATTAACAAACTATTAAACTATGTCTTGTTTGTGTTAACAGTTGACTTCTTTTTTAAATTATTAATTTGATAAATGTTAACCTCCAAATAAAACATTGATAGATTTTAAATTAAAGCAGATTTTGAAAAATAAAGAAAAAACATGATTTTACATCAGCAAAATAATGCATTTACTGAAATAAATAATATAATTCAAGTGTTTTAATTATCAAACTGACGTAGGTTGAAAATTTTATTTAGTTTTAGTAGTAAATTGAAAATCTTTATTTAAAGAAAGTTGGGAGAAATAAATAATTAGTAGAGATGTAGAGATGTTGGCTCACCTTGAGTTGTATGATAGAGTGTGCGGAGATGTTGTGGCCGGCCGCCTGCAAGCCCTACAGAGTCACACTGCGTCAATACACGTGCACACACACACAAAAAAACAGTAAAGCGGATAAACAAACACAATATTGATATAATTGAATATAAAAAATAAAAATATAAATCCACTTCAATCTAAAAGCCCCTGTATGAACTCTACACAAAATCAACAACATCACTCGGTAAAGCCTCCGCTGTTCCATATCATTGGAAAGCGCACATGAGATTAATATAATAAGAAATTGCTAAAAAAATGAAAGCGATGCGAATGTTAGCCGATACGATTTGTTTGAAAACCGCAGTTTAAAATAAAGTGCGCGACGAAGCGGCGCGTAAAGCGACACACTGCACTACGGTCTACAGAGCACGTGGCCCGCCGTACCTTCACGGCTATGATCTCCGCGGTCGTGTATGGACTCATCTTAAAGTTGTCCACCGATCTTTTCACACCCTGCAACCGTCGCAACATACTTTTTTATTACACTTTCAATTCTTAGTTATATTACATAAGTTACAATATATACAAATAAACGCTCGACAGTGGTACAAATGTGACTAACACAACGCCCTCCGCCCGCTTGACAAGGATACACATTAGTACCACTCATAATTTATGAGGGCGAACTCGACAAAAAAAGGTTTGTCATTAAAAATTATAACAAATTTATACTGAAATGTATAATGCAGACATAGACAAAGACATATACTCTTTAATTTGGTACCATAATCTGTCAATTTCGATTCTAAAAATAGACATAAAAATCATTCTGACGTAATGGCTTTTTACAACAGTAGTGCGTGGTAGTGCGTGAGTTACTTCTGAGTGATTTCTCCGTTTTTCTGTGTGTTTTTGGAATAAAAAGGTGAGTTTTATACTTTTGTGTATTCATTGTAATAAAACAAACACGTAGATATATAATTTGTGGCATAAAAAGTGAAAAGTAAGTGCCAAATGTACTTTGAAATCGGGAAGGCCCATTTTAGCGGTTGGGTCAAATATTTTTAGTGTAAAATGTAACTAAATAATAGTTTTATAACATATTTCGGTTAATATTTCCAATATGGACCATCGATTTCAAAGCCCATATTTTTTTTGTAGATAGTACTCACTAAAAGAAAGCGTTTGCAAAGTTTTAGGTTGCGGAAACTTACAGTTCATGAGATATATTTTTTTAAACTTTTCATACAAATTGGCAAATAACACGGAATTACACCAATTATAAAATAAATTTGACAAATGATTGATGTCAAACGTCAATTAGTGTAGAGTTCCGAATATTTTGAAAGTATCGATACGTACTCGATACCAAGTATCGTATCAAAAGTATCAATACTACTTGGTATCGAGTACATTTCGTTAATTTTGGAGACTAGGGGGTAAGAAGCCGGGAAGTTGTGCTCCGGCGCTCCGTGGCAGCTCCGGCGCTGCGGGATGAGCAGTGCCTCCGCCCTAGCGTAGGGAAGCACAGGCACCTGAGCTCGCCTTCGCAGCTTCGGCTTTTTGGTCCAGCCTCAGCTGCTACGGCGATCTCGGTGCCTACGCTTCCCTACGGCGGGCGGGCACTTCTCTCCCTCCGCGTCTCCGGGCTCTTATATACACTCTAGGGGTAGGGCAGACAAGACCACGTGGATAGTGGGGTGCTCTGATTCGGTTTTGGGTACTTTTTGGATATTAAATAAGTAAGTCAATAAGTAAGTAAACACTTTATTGTAGTAAGAATTAGATAATACAGAAAGCTGCAAACAATAAAATAAAAGTACGAAAGCTGTACTAATTAAGAAATACAAACAAGTTGCAAACAATGAAATACAAATACTAAGGTGGAACTTAAATAGAATAAAAACTTTATTCTACTTTATATACATATATAATTGCACTTATCAGCTCTTCCTATGCATCTAATTGGTTTTTCATAATTTTTCGTCTCCAAAATTAACGAAATGTACTTGATACCAAGTAGTATTGATACTTTTGATACGATACTTGGTATCGATACTTTCAAAATATTCGGAACCCTACACTAACTGACGTTTGACATCAATCATTTGTCAAATTTATTTTGTAATTGCGTGTTATTTACCAATTTGTATGAAAAGTTTAAAAAATATATCTCATGAACCGTAAGTTTCCGCAACCTAAAACTTTGTAAAACGCTTTCTTTTAGTGAGTACTATCTACAAAAAAATATGGGCTTTGAAATCGATGGTCCATATTGGAAATATTAGTAACGAATAGAAACACATAAAACATAAAAATATACATACCAAACATCGTATAGATTTCTCCAAAAACAAACACGTAGAATTTAAATCAGTAGTACACTCGGCGTCAAAAAAATCGCACATCCGAAAAAAATAATTTAATTTTATACTAATATTACTATTTATATTAACTATTTATATAGTAATTTTAGACTAAAAGTGAAGTATCTACTACTACTATGTTATAAAGGGTAATTTATGAATTTTATTACAATTTCTAGCAACTAAAAATAATTTTATTCGATAGTTTATACATTCAATAAGAATCCCTGTAAGTTTTATCCATAAATATTGTCTCAAAGTGAAAATATTGCAAAATTTGCAAGTTAGCAAAAAATTGCAAATCCCCGCCATTTTACGTCGCGAGCCAACCGGCGAATCGAATAAAGTCGCCTTACGAGCATACAGATAAAAAAACAAAAGGTTTCATATTCTAATTTATTTGTAAAATTGACTGTAGTGGCAGCGGGGCTCCTTCTCTACTTCTACCTCATATATTGAGTTGAGTCGAGTCCTGTATATTATAAAACGTGGTAGAGCCATGCTGCCGTTACATTATAGTTGTAGCGCGAATAGGTCGACTCGGCTGGGGTAAGAAAACGCTCTCACAGAATACCAGCGTAAAACAGCAGCTGTATATGCTGAGGGTAAAGAATCAGAGACCTTGTTAATGGAAACAAGGCATTCCATCCTTAGTCCTCGGGGGTAACATCACATCAAGGATGGATGTAGACATCTACGGGCGACAGCATCCACTTACCATCAGGTGGGTTGTGTGTTTGTATGTCACATTAAGAAAAATTTACAGCATTCCTCAAATCTTGGTCCGTTTTTATGAGTTACAACAACGGCTACAATTGTAACCATTCGAAGTAATTTTTTTTTTGCTCAAACTAAATAACGAAATATATTTCGACTTACGTCGTGAGAACGAATGCTGTCTATAATTATTTAAAATCACGCACCTTTACAGCAGCGAATACATCGAAGCCTGGACTGCCCAGCTCGCCTTTTTGTCCTTTGTCACCAGGTCGGCCCTGAAACACAGTAAATTTTATTATCATTACCATTAAAACCTAAAACAATCCATTTCTGAACACCTGCCCTACCCACAGATTGCCTCATATTTTGCCATAGTGGCCATGCTTGGCGGACGGATTGACATCCGCATTTTTTTATCACTCTAAGTTGGTATCAGGAAGATGTTGCTGCCCATCTTCTGCTTCAGTTTCTCGCTGTCACCTCTTGACGTGATGGGGGTGTGGAGGGTGTGGGGGTGGGGGGAAAGTAAATATTCTTACACCGTTACTGTATACTACACGATTTATTATATCATACAGTTTAAATTAGTAGACTAATTTATTTTTCACTTAAGAAAGTTTTTAGGTGCAAGCAATAATTTCTTTTTAATTGGACTTACCGGATCACCTTTAGGCCCGTCCAGTCCGATTGGTCCCTGAAAATAGTGCAAAAAAAATCTGAGCACTCCAATTCATAAATAATTTAAATTTTGAAACTAAATACTTTATACTTAAGTGTTTTGATTTTAAAAATATTGTACCAGCAGCGAATGTTTGAGGAAGAAAGATTAGTTGAAATTGAAAAATACAGCAGAGAGATTGCACAAGGTTACGTTGGAAATGAAGAATAAGTTGACATGCATTCCAAGAGATTAGTGCGCTTGATATCTTCCACAACCAATATATTATTACAAATGTATGTGTTAGTTAAGAAGGTGCTTCAAACTAACAGGTTGTTAGTTTTCCAATAACTACACAATTTCTACTGTCTACATGTCGCTAGGTGGGTTTGGGTTTAGCTCAAATGCATTAACTACAATTTTAATTTTGTCTGCTACTCTGTACTCATAGATATAATTCTTACTATTGAAAAGTGTTCTGTTTTGTGATTATTAATTCAAGAAATGACGATTATGAATGTATCGGTATTTTCACAGCACTAATTGTGACAGATGTGTAAGACCAGTATTCAGAGACAATCTCAAATTTAAGCTCATATCACTGACATCAACATGTTATGCCATTATAATATGATCTGGACTGAAACTTGTAAGAGATTGACTTAGAATTCCTTCATTAATGCTAAATTACACTGGCACTTTGTGCAATCCGAGTTGCACAACATAATATATAACATTTTAATTATAAATAGTAGTAAATTAAAAAACTACAAAGTAAACACATTGTATATAATGAATACGAGTACAATTGATTATACAAAACACATTGCGGAGTATTAATTGTAGTTAGTTGCAGCGGAGGAGGGACGGTTAGCGGCGGCGGGCGGGGGGCGGGGGGCTACTACAGTTCGCTACGGGGAGCCTCTTACCATAAAGCCTCGCTCGCCCTTCTCGCCTTTGCTTCCCTGAAACGTCACAATGGCGTACAGAAGCCATCGGTATGCGAGCGACCCACGCCGCGGCCTTGCGCTCGTCACAGTACAAAAGTAAAAAGGGGAAATCGCTTTAAAAGTCTAATGTACCAATTCTAAAAATACTAGCTTTTATATTTTACTTGTATTGCAAAAGATTATAAGAAAATTCAACTTTATTTTCACTCAGAAGGAGAAACTAGCAAAGTTATCAAAGTTCTGCAAAAGGCACGCTGAGCGTCGTGAAGTCAAAGAAATTAAGAGTTGAAAAAATTACATATAACGAAAAAGAAAAAAGTAAAAATAATAAATAACTAAAAATAAGTACCGGAAATCCGTTCTTCCCCGGTGCACCCATTAAACCCTGTAAAGAAAATTAAAAATAAAACAAAATATTCTTTTATAACGAGACATGAACTCTGTAACTTCAACGACGATGATGCGAGTAGATAATGACGGGCTATGGTATATTCCTTACTTATCTATTTTTTCTTAAAATATTGTGTATGTAATTTCCCTTAGGAGATCTGTGGTTACGTTAATTAATTAAAACGCGAAAACTGAGTTTGTTGTGGAGAGCGAACTCACCGCTGGGCCGGGGTCGCCCGGTTCGCCTTTTTTGCCCTTCTTGCCGCGCTTGCCGGGGGGCCCGGGGGGACCTGGAAATAAAACAAAACATATATGTTAACAGAATAACAGCATAAATAATTACATAGCGCTACTATTAAATCTTAAGACGTGGATAAAATTTAATATTTTCTTTATTTTGCCTTAAAGTCTATTTTGTGTCTTTTCTGAGGTATACACCTCTTTTTTCTTAAAAAATTGTAAATTCAGACATTCTAATGGATAACAAATCCAAAACCGTAGCATGTCATGTAAAAATAGTATCACTGCGGACCCTGTTCAAATAGTTAAGTGTTTCAATAATTTCTTTTTGTCGGTTGGTAATGATAACAATACTTTTGGCAGAACAGGTGCAATCATTCAGCCTGTTCTTCATCCCGTAAAGAATTCATTCTTTTTACAACTCGCTACTATTCAAGAAATTATAAAATGTATACGTAATTTAAAAAAACAAGCGTAGCTTCGGTCATGATGACTTACCGCCTTGTCTAATTAGGAAATGCGCCGAAGAACTAGCCCCAGTTATGACATTCCTGATAAATCAGAAATCAGACAGAATGAAGAATCAGAAAGTAAAGTTCCAGACCAACTAAAAATTTCAATAATTAAACCACTCTATAAAAAGGCTCTAAAACTGACTGTAATAAGTATCGCCCTATTACTATTCTTCCAACGTTTTCAAAAATATTTGAATCCGTTACGGCTAATAGACTATACTGTTACTGCGAAAAGTTCAATATATTAAAAGACAATCAATATGGCTTTCGCAAAAACAGATCAACAACTACAGCAGTATACAAATATGTCAATGAAATATTAAATAATATATTTAATAAAAAGAAATACGCGATCGGTATTTTACTGGACATGACCAAATCCTATGATCGAGTTCGATTTGACATACTTTTACAGAAGTTACACGGAATAGGAGTAAGAGGCCCAACATACAACTGGTTCGAATCACCAATCAAAAATACCTGACCAATCGAAAGCAGTGTATAGAGATAGAACACCATAACCTAGCCAGTGGAAATGTGATTAAAGTCAGGTCTCAATTTGCACCGGTCACTTACGGTTGTTTATTATTTTTATTTTATATTAATGATTTGCCGAAAATAGTCAAAGCCCCCTGTACCTTGTTTGCCGACGATCTTTCTGTAGTCATACCTTTCGACAATAATACTAACAACAATCTTAACAACTGTCTAGATAGTGTACTTACAGATATCTCTAAATGGTTAAAAAATCACTATCTCGTCATAAATTACACAAAAACTAAGATAATACAATTTAAGCCGTATCAAAAATGCCCCCTATCTATAAATTATTCTTACAACGATACTAAACTAGAATGTGTTGATTCATATACATTATTAGGTATAAACATAGATTCAGGTATAAATTGGAAAGAACACATAAAGAAAGTATCATCTAAACTTTCCCGTTTCTCGTATGCACTATACGAACTTAAAAAAGTTACAGATTCAAGAACAGCCACGTGTGCATACTATGCTTATGCCCATGCATGGCTCAAGTACGGCATTTTGCTGTGGGGAAACAGCACAGACGTACATAAATTGTTTATTTTACAAAAAAAATGTATCCGAATAATTACAAACATAGACAACACTGACAGCTGTAAGCCCTACTTTATTTCATTAAAAATATTAACAATTACATCTATATATATATATATATATATATATATATATATATATATATATATATATATATATATATATATATATACTAGAAGTATGCACATTTGTTAAAAAGAATATGCACCTTTTTTCAATATAATCAAGGCCTCATTTTTTATGTCCTAGTATAAAATTAACTCCACCTATCACAAAATTACAAACAGTTAAATCAGGACCCCATGGTATGTGTTTAAAAATTTATAATAAAATTCCCAAATGTCTACAAAAAGAAGAATCGTATAAATTTCAAAAAGAGCTTAAAAATATTTAATTGAAAAAAGTTTCTATTCGTTGTCAGAGTTTTTCGGTGAAAAATAATAATTGTTTATTTTGAATATGTATACCTCTTTAATATCGTTGTAACTATTGCAAATGTTTATTAAACCTAAAAGTAATGTAGTAGTTTGATTATGTAGTTTAAGTAAGTAGTTTAAGAAAATAAAATAAAATTCGTCTTTCTAAATTGATTAGAATAAATTGATAAATAACATAATATAATATAATATTGCTACGCCCTATCAGGGCTCATGTTTGGCTCTAATATATCCAACATAAGAACTGTTTATGTAACCACATGAACGCAATGAAATGTTTGAGTTTGAGTTTGAGTTTGAAAAATACTGTCTATTTCCACTTTTTAATGGCTTGCTTGGCTTTAAAATTTAAAACACAAATTTATTAATAATGAAACACAAATTATGCAATGCTGCAGGCTTTATATTGTGACATATTTCCTGTTTCATTTAAAAAGTTAAAAAACAAATGTAATAATACCGTTAACGTTACAATCTAATAAGGTCCACAGATTGCCTCACAGTCCACAAGTGGGAGCGACACACTTGGCAAGCGAGTTGGCAGTTTTCTTTATTTTAAGTCGTTATTAGGGAGCGTACTACGCTGGCTGCCCCCGGCTTCCAATTCATCCCAGGGGTTGTTTATATTTCTACATCGCCACTACACGGTACCCGTCTTAATAATAAAACACAACATATGTAAGATTGCAGATTACATATTGTGACACAGTTACTTCTTTTTAAAATGGGCTTAATTTCAATGTTTCATTTGTCAAAGGTAAACTAGGTATTTTAACTTCAGAAAAGAGACAGAGACGAGTGGCAACACGACTGCGAGGGCACTTGCATGTGACGTCACACTCGTGATGTCACTGCTCGAGTATTGGTGCTCCAGGCGCTATATAAGGGTGCTTCAACCATCCACCGACAACTAAATTTTGATTAAAAATTAAATTCAGTTCACCGAACAGGAAAATAAAAATATGACGGCGGAGAGCACACCATTAGCAAGGCATAGAAAATACGTTTAACATTTAAAAAGTACTTGTCCCAGCTTTATATTTATTAGTTGTTTTAAGATATTAATTTACAGCCTTAAAATGTGTGCAAATTATAAATATGTGTGCAGATTACGTAGTTACTTAAAAATACCGGTATATTGTTTTTATTTGATATATGATATACGAGAGCTGTGCTCGATTAGGACTAGGCGCTCTCCGATGCTCTCTAATACTTACATACCTACATACATAATTACATACATATATTACGTAGTTTAAAATTTAAAAAGTGGAGACGTGGTAGCTCAGATGCTTAGCGCTCGCTGTAAATTTCACAGTACGCTAATAACCTGGGCTCGATCCCCGCCGGCACCAACGAGATTGTTATTTGCAATTTTAAGTGCTGATTTACCACGTGCTCAGCGGTGAAAGAAAACATTGTGAGGAAACCTGCATGTCTGAGAAATAATAAAAAAATATATTTCCAATACATGTGAAATTCGCCAACAAGCATTGGGGGAAACGCGGCGGACATTTCCTTGCCCTAAAACCCTTTAAGAAATGAGGGATGGCCTGTGCTTAGCAGTGGGACGAATATAGGCTGTAATTTTAACTTTTTAACTTTTACTATGTAAGGAAAACGGTGAAGGAAAAAATCGTGAGCAAAATTGCATGTTCAAGAAAGAAAATATTTATAGCATATGATATGGATTTACCTGAAACGCACTGGGACAGAAGGACAGTCTTACTCGTCATCATCATCATCATCATCACAGCCCTTCACAAGTCCACTGCTGAACATAGGCCTCCCCCAAGTAATGCCACAAAGCACGGTCCTGAGCCACCTGCATCCATCGACTTCCTGCATATCTTACCAGGTCGTCACTCCATCTAGTGGGGGGTCGCCCTACACTACGCCTACCGGTACGAGGCTGCCACTCGAGAACCTTTCTTCCCCATCGGTTATCGGTTCTTCGAGCTATATGGCCGGCCCATTGCCACTTCAGCTTACTAATCCGTTGGGCTATGTCGGTCACTCTGGTTTTACTGCGGATGTCCTCATTTCTGAGTCTATCACGCAGAGAAACTCCGAGCATAGCCCTCTCCATAGCTCGCTGAGCGACCTTGAGCGTCCTCATACGGCCAGCAGTGAAGGACCACGTCTCTGATCCGTAAGTCATCACTGGCAACACGCACTGGTTGTACACTTTAGTTTTCAGAGATTGAGGTATACCTGACGAGAAGATCTGTCGTAATTTCCCGAACGCTGCCCAGCCGAGTTGAATCCGTCGATTGACCTCTCGGTCGAAGTTGGACTTACCTAGTCGGACTATTTGTCCCAGGTAAACGTACTCGTCAACAACTGCGAGCATAGTGCTCCCAACAACTACCGGCATAGGTGTGACATGGACATTAAACATGATCTTTGTTTGTCCATGTTCATCTTAAGACCTATCCGTTGGAAGCCACTATTGAGGTCATTGAGCATAGTGCTTAAGGCCTCCAGCGATTCTGCCATAAGGACTATATCGTCGGCAAATCGAAGGTGAGTGATGTACTCGCCATTGATGTTAATACCGTATCCTTTCCAGTCCAGTAGCTTGAAAACGTCTTCCAAAGCAGTGGTGAAGAGTTTCGGGGATATAACGTCACCCTGTCTTACACCTCTCTGCAGTTGGATAGGTTTCAAGCTCTGGTTCTGTACTCGGATAGCCATCGTAGCCCTACTGTACAAACACTTCAGCACTTCGATATACCGACAGTCAACTTGGCACCGCTGAAGGGACTGCAGCACCGCCCAAATTTCGACGGAATCAAAGGCTTTCTCATAGTCCACATACGCCAGGCAAAGTGGCAAATTGTACTCTTCAGTCTTCTGTACAATCTGCCGCAGGGTATGTATGTGGTCTATGGTACTGAAGCCTTTTCGGAAACCGGCTTGTTCGGGAGGCTGGAAGTCGTCGAGTCTGCGTGCGAGACGATTCGTAATGACTCTCGAAAACAGCACGTAGACGCGGCTCAGAAGGGAAATCGGTCT